TGTACTCTACCCAGAGTTTTGGGCGAACATTAAGTTCGTCATATTGTTAAGCAGACCAGTTCTGTCCGCTTTTTTTTCTGGGGAAGTTAGTAGAATTTCTACTAACTTCCCCTTTTTTTAGTTTTATCAATTATAGCGGGTGTTTATGGGTGTGGTTTTAAAGCTAAAAAAAAAAAAGCTTTATAAACGCTTTTTAATAAAATAGCAACTTTATGCACTATCTAACAAGAATGATGCTTGATTTTTTTATTCAATTTTAACGAATCTAGTAATGGTATTGTATTTTATACTCTTGCGCTTTAATTAACTGGCACTATTGTAACATGTTAATCCTCTTCGGCAAGATCTTTTTCGTAATCAAATAATGCAACGAACATATTGGTATTGATACATTCCCAATTTTAACTTTTTTTTGTCATCGATAATATATACTAGTCATTTATGTTTTAGCAATATATTAAAAATCCAATTATTTTATTTATTAATTCAAACGTTTACATTCAAAAAAAAAAAAAAAAAGAAGGAACTTTATCGATCAAAACAACAACTCTTGATTTCTGACGTCTCAGAAGCGGATGTTTCCCACCTAGTCAACTTTTTCGGTTTGTCTTCGACATCATTCAATCTATATTTTTTTGATCAATATGGTTTTCATTTCCGAATATAAGTAAGAAACGTTGTTATTGATTGAATTAACTTTAATTCCATTACCATCTGTGATAATCGTGAATCTTGGATATAGCCTTTGTTATATTCTGTGGATAAGCCTCATATAAAAGCGATTGTTCTTTCCAGGAATACCTTACGAAACTCTCGTTATGCTAAATACCATTTACTTAAGAGGTTATGTGTTTACTGGATATTACTTTATGCTGCTCACCCAGAACATAGCATTAGAAGGAAACTTAAGATCTACACAATCCATAAAGGCTTTTAGAACTTACAAACTCAGATCAAGAAAGAAACACCAATGGGGTGCACGTCAAGCAAGATTTGTAAAAAGAAGATGTTAATGTCACATATCACGATACAATAAGAAAAAAGGATTTGGTCATGTATCTAATAATGATATTTTTGATCTTATTTATCATATCGAATATAACTTCCGTTTTTATTTTTTCTCATCTGTTCATTATGTATATTTTCTGATTTATTATATGCAGAAATTCTACTTTGAAGTCCAAGTGGATTCGAAGAGACTGAATTGTTGTTCGAATACTCTGACACATATTAACAATTTTAAAAACTAGGTACGTACAAAAACTGCTATAAGAACTATCGACAATATTAATAATTATGTCATTATCCAAGAAATTAAACTATCACTAATTCTTGTATATTTTACAAATTCAATTGATCCTGATACTTCACACATCCTCTATTAAGAAGCATTGATGTATACGATATTAGAAGAATTATTCGACAATGCAATTGTCGGACTTTGATGATTTGGGTTTGTAGACATATTTATTAAATGTATACCAAATTGGAATTCATTGGAAAAGCGATAGTATTCATTATTTATTAATTTAATGCAAGATAACCGTATATTGAGAAAGATCACAAAAACGGAAGATCGCAGTACCCGAATTTGTTGCCGATAATTAGAATTTGTATGCGAATCAATTATATGTTCAAAGTGAAGATTATAAAACTTGGAGTGGCAACATTCAAAAAGTCAGAAGGTCAGGAGTATACAATTGCAGGGATTGTGGAACAGATGAAAGTGGTATTCGGGGATTTTTCTCCGAGCATTACTTGATAGAGCTTTGATTTCCTTAGGTCTATCAGAAGATAGTACACTTATCACGTATTGACTTATTAAAATTCATCTGATTTACCTAAAACTAAATACTACATCGTAATTGTTTGTGGTTAGAATCTAGAGTGAACGATAGAAATCAGTTGAATATGTTTAGATCACTATTTCAAACATTATTTTAAACGTTATTTTAAACTTTATTTTAACGTTATTTTAAACTTTATTTAAGTATTTATACACACACATATATATATACATATTCTAAATGATATGCAATATTTTTTATTGTAAATAAGTAATATATAAAAAGAATTCATAAGTTTGATGTTATAAATACAATAAGCAGATGCAAATCTGTTTTTTTTTTAAAAAAAAATTCTTACAAACTTCGATTAAATAATTATAATAGAAAATAACATCAGAAATTTTTTTTATAAAACATAAATCTCTTCTTTTTACCTTATTTATTCCATCTAGTATTGACAAAACTACAACTTTTCTATTATGTTTAACTATGGAATACAGGAATACATACTTTATTTTATGGTCACTGTGATGCTTCTAATACTTTTGACACCGATACATAAACTATTTAGTGTGGGAACTCTTTCTAAAATAACATTTTTCACTGCTTTAATAATAATTCTGGACATTATTTTTCCATATGCATTCTCATACGTGATAGAAGGTTACGACACAACAGTATTAATTTCAGCAAGTGTTATTGGAGTAGGAATAGATTTAATGATAGTAGGATTAATTCCAAGGAAAGAAGAATATTCAAACATTGTAACGACATTTCTCTTTTTAATGGGTTTAGTCTATACATTTATTTTTATCTACTTAATTGGTATTTTCGCCAAGTCTATTTTCAGTATTGAAATTCATATTCCATATTTAAGTGTTACTTTAGGAATAATAGTAGGAGTAATAATTATAACAAGAGTATTCATGCTTTCAAGTTATCATCGAAGTAAAGCAAGAGTCATTCTAGCTGTAATGTTAATTTTAGGTGGAGTAGATTATTACATATTGGATACGTTTTTTTAAAAAAAGTCAAAATGTTTTATTATTATCTAATTTATACATAGCATTATTAACGAAATAATATTAATGAAGTTTTATTTTTAGAACTAGAAATTTCAGTATAAAAGTGTATTATTAAAAGAAACATATAACAATTTTTCTATTAGCGTAATTTGATGATCAATAATATAATATTATTAATATATTCTAAAAAATGATTGAATGGTATGTATTAAATTTATTAAATATCTCTAAATGTTATACGTAATAACATCCATAAAGTAGTTCTTTTTAAAACAAAAATAACGTTTGTGCATTGAAACTCATTTCCATTATTATATATTCATAACATTATCGCATGAGATGATTGTCGTGTGTCATGGAGATTTGATCAGTTAAATATTGAATTTATTAAGAAAATCCGTCGGATATCCGTTAAATTTAATATGAAAATGGATAACAGATTCAAGTTATGACGAGTGTGAGTATACGTTCATAAAAAGATCTCGGTGTTAATAGACATTTCTTTTCACATGACTGAGTATTTAATAATAACTTGTGTTATATCATTTTAAAATTTGGACTAACTATATATATTAACATTAACATGAATTACTACATCACACGAGTATGGCCCATAGTTTAGTGGTCCAAATTGTTAGTTAAAAAACCAACTATATATGAGTGCCGCCAAGGAAAACTTGGATCCGGAAATTATAGTTTATTATTCGGAACTTAGTCTTTGAAGATTCATCAATTATGGCAATTTTCTGGTTGTTCTTGTATCATGAGTCTTGATTATATTATTAATCGACATATTGATATGTTGTTTCTTTTTATACTAGAAGACTGTCAACACTTCGTCACTGTTGAATTACTGTAGATTTTTCAGGAGTACTCATATTAACCTTGGATAACTAACCGATTGGAAAATGGTTAACCAACTAATCGTTAATTGATTATTTACATAACTGATAACAGGAATGGTAAATGACCTAAGACAACCCAAATGACAAATGACTAGTCATTGGATATTTTGAAGCCTAATGACTTAGAAGGTCATTTAACATATGTTAATTGATATTCCAACCTCTTTTAACCAATTACAGAATTAGAATTTGCCTACGAACATCAATTAGAAAAGTAATAATTTCTATGAGCAATTCGACCAATAAAATTATTCTATATGTTACCATTATTGACTGATAATAAATGCGAAATTTCTTTAAAACATATCGATATTATTTATTTGGCCAATTAAATTTAATAAAAACATGTGACTATTAAGTTGATATAGTAACTGTTTGATTGAGAATTTTGACTAACTCGGAAAACAGCACTAGTTATGAATTAAAGGACAGTCTAAAAAATGGTTTAGATATCAAAAATTTCCAACATTGCTGTAATGCAAAAAAAAAAAAAACTGTCAATATTATTACGATTGATAAAATTGAAATTTTTATATAAAATTATCTTACACAACTTGTATTTATTATAGCAATATCGATATTGATGAAATTTAAGTTTTGCCATTTTTGTGTGACCCACATTAATATTAACCTGATTAGATAATAATTCTATTTAATTTTTACGTTATTTATACAGTTTAAAGAATTTTTTTAAAAAAATACAGAAAATAAAGGAAAACTAGTGATATACAAAGGTTTATTAAAGTTTTACAGGACTCTGACTAGAAAATATCTCTAATCCTCATCCGTCTAAAAGCTAGTAATAACTTTTCATAAACAGATGAAATTAAGTTACTACTAAGCAAACTTTTCCTATATAATTGTTTTTATTTTATTAGGTGCCGTTTCCTTTTTTTAAAAAGTACTTTAAATTATATAAATAATGTAAAATTAAATTAGCCATTCAAACGAACATAATACAGATACATGTAAAAGCAAATTTATTATTTTATATACAATGTTTAACTGCGACAAAAATTATGTGATAAAAATAAGATGAACTTTATTAATGATATATATTAAAAAACTTATTAGGTTCAGTCTTTCTTATTCTACTTCAGACTCAAAAAGCCTGAAGGATTGAAATCTCGATAGTTACATTATGATAATTGCTTGTTATGATTACATGATAGACTTCAACCTCGGTTTTAGATGATTCTTATTTAAGATTAGAATTGAAGCTTCCAATAAGTTCCGAGTAGCGTTTCATACAACTAGAGATGGGTTTTAATATATCAAGTGATCCCAACGATTAAGGCCTTACAGTCGACCAAGTAGAATATGCACATATGCAGGTGATGAAGACCAGTAATTTATTTAGAATCGAATTTAAACTGCATCTATATGATAGATCAGGCGCCGCAATTGTTTATGTCGCACGTTCGTATCTCTACGTACAGAATACTTTGATATTAATAATATATCTAAATATACCATTTGTGCTTGTTATGCCTGATGTTGATTTTACGCATTGTATCACCATAACTTTTCGGTTATAGTAACATATATAAATTTAACGTCAATAAGTAACAAATTAAATTAACATTAAATCAATAATTTATAAAGTTGGATCTTAAAATTACCACAAGGAAAAAATTTTGAAATAATGTTAGAAAAACCTTTATATAAATATCTTTTTATCTTGACTTATCTATTCCCTACTGCATCACCTCCGTTTTCTAATACATCTAAGTTGGAAATAAAGGATTTTATACTTTATGCAATTGTTTCTGTAATTTTTCTAATCCTTATTATTCCAATATATAAATTTAAATTGCTCAGAGTAATAATCTTTGCTACCTTGTTAATATCCTTGACAAACAATTTTCCGACTATATCTTATTACATGAAAGAATGTTTTGACACTGCAACAATATACATGAAGGAAGACTTTGACACTGAACAATAATTTTATCAAGTTTAGTGGTCAAAGAATAATAGAATTAATTCGCCGACGTAAATATGCTTTCTCAGGGTTCAAAGCAACATTTTATAAAAGCTTTTTACTTATATAATTTTTAGTTTTTTTTTTGAGCCTAATTTCAATGTTTTATTTTCGGTTATAATTTAAGCGTGGTAGTAGGTTATCTTATCTTGGCAATCTTTAAATAAGAACTAGTCAAGAATATATATATATATATAATTAGAAGATTTTATAATTTTTAATTTAGTGTGAACGATGTTCATTTTAGGCGGAATTATTTATTGGTTTGTATTATTCAAGTATTTATTCTATCATTAAAGATATTATAAGTGAAGTTTTTAACAAGAATGAACAAACAACTAATTATTGTTTTTTGTTTTATGTTCCAATAATAGAATATATATATATTATACATACTATGTAATTTATTGTTTATGAGATGATTACAGATTATATTATTTTTTTCAAAAATCGCTTGGGGAATTATGAATGTTAGTTATTGATGGTCTAACGGCCTTAATCTTCAGAAAAATTACTAGACAATTGGGATCTAGCTATATCCCAAAGGCGTGTATAATAGATTCATTTTGGCCACAAATTTCTGTATATTGACTTTTTTTTTTCAGATAAAAAAGTTTTTTTATTTAATTATTAAAATTACAATTACTTTTAAAATTCATATGTTATGGAAACAATTAACTTTAATTATAAAAAATTTTATTAAATTGGGCCCTAAGATTAGTTGTAGTCTCATTTGTTTTTAATATAGATCTACATAACGATAAAACATCTAACATCTAAATTAATTAAATTAATTGGGAATTTCAGAAATTTAAAAATTTTAATTGACTTAAGATTAATGTTGCCAATTCAGTAAGCGCGCATTCTGTGAAGTGAAATCTAAATGACAGGAAATTAAAAATTATTATAATTTACATGGTCCATATCAACATACAGTATTACCTTGTAATTAACTTGAAAGTGATCTCTAATCATTTTTTTTGGGTTAATGCATTATGCGTGCTACATATGCACGTACGTACGTGCAGTATTGGCCACATTAAAATTTCCAATTTCGTTTTTATAGAATCCG